GCTTCATGCATAGTTTGCTGTGCCACCCTCTATGAGAATGTATGAATATAATAAATCCTTTAATTCTGTATGCCTCTCACAGTTTAATTTCCATGGCAGTGTTGGAATGATACTAGAGACCCCACGAAGGATATCTACTCCCCCATTTATAATACACATTCGTAAAACACATCTTAATAAATTTAACAGAAATAATACAATGTTTGCTCCATGATCACAATAGAATTAAACTAGAAAGCGGTAACAGAAAGATAGCTGGCAAATCCCAAAATACTTGGGAGATTAAACAAGACAACACATGGAGCAAAGAAGCAATACTCAAGATAAATTTAAAACTATTTTGAACTAAATGACAATGAAAACACAACTTAGAATTTGTGAGATGCAGCTAAAGCGGTGCTTAGAATAAAATTTATAGCACTGAATACCTATACAGTCATCCCCACTCTTATCCATGATTTTGTTTTCCAAGATTTCAGTTACCAGTGGTCAACTGTGGTCTGAAAATATTACATGCATAACTCCAGAAATAAATAACTCATAAGTTATAAATCACGTGCTTTTCTGAGTAGTGTGACAAAATCTTACACTGTCCCACGGTGTTATGCCCAAGATATGAATCATCCCTTTGTCCAGTAGATCCACGCTGAATACAGTACCTGCCTGTTAATCACTAAGTGGCCATCTTGGTTATCACATCAACTGTCTCAGTATCACAGTGCCTATGTTAAGTAACCCTGATTTTACTTAGTAATATCCCCAAAGCGCAAGAGCAATAATGCCAGCAATTCAGATGTGTAAAAGACGTAAAGTACTTCCTTTAAGTGAAAAGGTAAGAGTTCTTGATTTAACAAGAAAGATAAAAATTGTACTCTGAGTTTGCTAAGATGTACAAAAAGAACAAATCATGTATCTGTGAGATTGTGAAGAAGGAAAAAGAAACTCATGTTAGTTCTGCTGTCACAGTTCAAACTGTTAAAGTTTTGGCCACAGTGCACAGAGACTTGCAATTCCTATACATGCCCATATGATTCTCATCTCTAAGCATTTGGACGTACTGGCTCCTATGCCCAGGAAACCCTCCATCACTTCATCCTATTACATGTAGAAATGTGAACATCTCTGTAGACCTTCTCACTCTGATTAATCATCCTGGGTCTGAGGTGACCCAAGGGACCCAAAAGCAAGGAAAAAGAGTCTCAGGACAGTGTCACCTGCATCTGTGGGCCAGAACCATGGCTTTAGGGAATAGGGCCAGTGAAGACCTGGGACTTCTTCCCCGTACCTGTGATGGTTTCACAAACTCTTCTGTTGCCACAGGAATCTGCAGGAAGAGGGAGGCTATGAAATAAAGGTGCTCAAGGTGGTATTTACAAAGGGTAAGTTGCTCTTGCAAACTGTGTGACACTGGACAAAGATCTGACCTCTCTGAGGTTGCCTCCATCTGTAAAATGGGAACACTTAATGGTGGCTACCTTGTAGTGCTATGGTAGGCATCAAACTCATTCATACGTGTCCAATGCTAAGACCGGGCTAGTACTGACCACAGCGTTAAGACTTCCGTAAACCGTTTTGAAAATTTTGGTGTTTCTTACTTGCCATTTAAGTCTTTATGTGAATGTGATATGTTATCAAATTATTAGATGCTTCTGTGATTCTTTGACAATAAATATGTAGTGTCTTTTCCAACACCATTCTCTGATTCTGATACAAACTAGGTGTCCTGCAATTAAATCCTATTCTAAGACTAGCTACCTAGAGTTGCTTCTAAACCAAAAGGTTTTAAAGGCTCAGTCATACACAACTGTCCTCACTTCATATGCCCATTGCAAGCCAACATCCAGACCAATAAATATAGCTGAATTCAACAACAGCATCCATATCCAGACCAATAAACATAGCTGAATTCAACAACACCATCAATCAAGTGGACAAAAATCAACATCTTTAGATTATTTTTTCCCAACAAGAACAGAATATACACTGTTACCAAGATCACACGGAATATTCAACAATGTCCAAACCAATAAACATAGCTGAATTCAACATCATCAATCAACTGGACATAATCAACGTCTTTATTTTTTCCAACAAGAACAGAATACACACTGTTCCCAAGCTCACACAGAATACTCAACAAGAAAGACCACAAGTCTTTATGTGAATGGGATATGTTATCAAATTATTAGAGGCTTCTGTGATTCTTTGACAATAAATATGTAGTGTCTTTTCCAACACCATTCTCTGATTCTGATACCAACTAGGTGTCCTACAATTCAATCCCATTCTAGTAATACCTGGAATTGCATCTAAACCAAAAGGTTTAAAGGCTCAGTCATACACAACTGTCCTCACTTCATATGCCAACTGCAAGCCAATGTTCAAACCACGGTAATTTTCTCCACTTGGCTACAAATTTGGGGGTTGCCATGACCTTATTCAACAATTTGCTAGAACCACTTACAGAACTCATGAAAATACTTATGTTTACCAGTTTATGATAATGGATGTAACTCTGGAACAGCCAAATGGAAGAGATGCATATGGCAAGGTACTGGCAGTGGGTAAGGCAGGATACGTCCATGCTCTCTTATCTCACTCTCCCAGCATTTCCAAGTGTTCACAACCTTGAAGCTTCCTGAACTCACTGATCAAGATTTTATATACCCTAATCTCCAAACCTCTGCTTCCCTCCCTGGAGGCCAGAGCTGGGGCTTTCAAATCCTATAATCACTTGATTTGTCTGGTGACCACCTCCACTCTGAGGCTATCTAGACTCCACCTGTCTGCTCACCCTAAGCCATCTCATAAAACTCAAGTATAGCTGCCTTCCCTTATCAGCTGTTTTGCTATTTGCAGTTTCAGTTACCTGCATTCAACTTCAATGTGAAAATTATAAGTATTAAATTTCAACTTCACTCTGAAAATAGTAATGTTAAAATTTTAATATTAAATACTAAAATACTAAATTTCCAGAAATAAACAATTCATGTTTTAAACAGTGCACCATTCTAAGTGGTGTGAGGAAGTATTACACTATGGCATTTAGTCCTTTCTTCTTAAGATGAAGAAGGGTAAATAGTATAATAAGATATTTAGAGATACCACATTCACATAACTTTTTAAATAATCTTTTTTGTTTTTTTATTGTCTCAACTGCAGTAACATAACTTTTATTAACTTATAATTAAAGTGTAATTGTTCTGTATTTTTTCCAGTTATTATTAATCTCTTATACTGCCTAATTTATAAATTGGACTTTATTATAGGTATGTAGTCCAGGAAGAAACATAGTATATACAGGTTGGGTACTATCTGCAGTTTCAGGCCTCCACTGGGGGTTTTAAAAAGTATCCTCCAAGGATAAGGAGAAAGTCATTGCTCAACTACTAAATGTATTATAGCCTATTGTTCCTAGGCTACAAACCTGTACAGCAAGTTACTATACTAAATACTGTCAGCAATTGTAACACAGTGATAATTATTTGGGTATTTAAACATATATAAACTTAGAAAACGCAGTTTACCTCTTGATCAGAAAGAAATAAATGAAAAGGTACAGTAAAAATTATGGTATCATAATCTCATGGGACCACCGTCATTGATGTGGTCAACATTGTTGTTATGTGCTACATAACTTACCACAAGACACTTTTCACTGAGGAAATTACAAGGATTTTAGGAGTTCTGTGCCAGGAAAGCATGACAAAAAGCAAACACATTTATTTTTTTATTAGAGCACAGAGGTATAGTGGCATTTTAATCGACTAATTGCTTGCATAAATTTGTTAAATTTATACAGTTTAAACCTGTGTTTTCCGGGGAGAGCTGCTCCGCTAGTCTGGCAGACCTTTTTCTGGCTCTACATAGAGTGAACAGTTGCCGAACCTTCTGAATGGTGACTTGTTACAGTGTCCCACCCTCAAATCCATCCTATGCAGTGTGTATTCCTTAAACATTCCCTCTGGAAGTATCCCTGGAACCCCAAGACCGTTCTATCTGCAAGCAGCCTCGCAAGGCCGACCCGCTCTTCCCCAGCCTCCAGCCTCAGCCCTCCCTCTCTTCATCTCAAAGTAAAATCTTAAGATTACCGGTCTAAATTGAAGGCTTGGCCTGAGTCTCAGCCCCAGCCTGTCACCATTTACAAAATCAGTGAGCCAGTCTCTTCCTCTTAATTTTCTACGTACAATTCCAGCTGCCCATGTAACAACCTCATTCTGTGACAGTTTAGAAACACCACGTCCATACTATCAATGGACGGCTGGAAACATAAAATATATTTTTAAAAAAGAAAAAAAAGAAACACCACGTCCAAAATTCAACTCCTACTATCTCCCCAAAACCTGCTCCCCCACCAGATTTCTGTGTCAACTCTTCCAGATGTTCAAGTAAGAGAAAAACTTGGGATCATACTTGACTCCCACTTCTGCTCACAGGCACAAAGGATGCAGCAGAAAAGCCTGCTGGCTTTCCCTTTAACATCCACCAAGATTCTTATTACTTAGGTCCCTCCAGAATCCACCACAATCCTCCTGGCTTCTACCACAGCCGCCTCCTCACCGGTATCCCCGCGTCCACCACCATCCCTCCCTAACCGTCTGTTATCTCCACTCACGGCCTTTGAAATATCTTTTCAAAGAACACGACCCTCACTCAGATCGCGTTCTCCTTTAGTTCACAACCCTCCGTGGCTCCCAAAGACTCAGGATTAGGGCCCGGCTGCTCCTCATTCTCTCTGCTCCCCGCAGACCGCGGTCGGCCCCCAGGTTTCCGAACGCTCGCGGCCCCGGCGCACCTCCCACCGTACGCAACGCCCTCCTCCCCCCCTCACCTCCCGTCAGCGCTGAGGACCCCCCCACCTCACCTCCCGTCAGCGCTGAGGAACCCCCGCAGAACGCCTCGCTGTCCGGGAGACGGAGCCCGAACTGCACAGACCCGCGCAGGCGCCCCCCGACCCGGGCTTGAGGACCTGGGTGAGGATCCGAGGATGTCGCTCTCACCTGCAGTGGATTCACCGGCGCTGCCGCATCCATGGGACCTTGGGCGGGGCGGGGCCTGGAGAGGCGCGCGGTGAAGCCCGGGATCCGGCGGGCGTGCAGTGGCAGATCGCCGGGAGGCGCTCGGACCGGGACCAGGCACGATTCTCTGCGGGCGGGCACCACCTCCTGGCCCGGACCCAGCGAGCCGGAACCGCCTGGCGGGCGGACGCGCATGCTGGCAGCCAAAATGACCACCACCGGAAAGGCGCCGGAAGTTTCCGCTCTGACGTACCGCGCGCTCGCACTGATTAGTCCAAGGCCCCGGCGCGCTCGGCGCGCAGTATTCTGGGTGGTGTAGTTCCTGCCACGCCGCAGTCCACGGGGCCGTGTGAACCCAGTTCAAGAGCGAGAGGACAAAGAAAAAAACCCATCAGACTAGGTCACCAGGCCGGGCGCGGTGGCTCAAGCCTGTGATCCCAGCACTTTGGGAGGCTGAGGCGGGTGGATCACGAGGTCAAGAGATCGAGACCATCCTGGTCAACATGGTGAAACCCCGTCTCTACTAAAAATACAAAAAAAAAATTAGCTGGGCATGGTGGTGCGTGCTTGTAATCCCAGCTACTCGGAAGGCTGAGGCAGGAGAATTGCCTGAACCCAGGAGGCAGAAGTTGCGGTGAGCCGAGATCGCGCCATTGCACTCCAGCCTGGGTAACAAGAGCAAAACTCCATTTCAAAAAAAAAAAAGAGAGAGAAAAAAAAGAAAAAACTAGGTCAGCAAAGCCTATCACATACACATGGTAAACGAATACGATTTGATCTTCATTTCTCAGCACAAAAGTTGACATAGATTGCATACAATACATTAAAAATGTTGACAATTGATGCAGTCCTTAACTTTTTCTTTTTTAAATGTAGAGATTATAAACCAAAATTAAAATTAAAAGGCCTCCCGACTATCTGAATGGACCCCTCCTCTCAGTATTATAGAGTTAACCTGAAAACCTAGTTCAGGCCATGATGGAAGAGGGAATTGGACATGCCTCATTCTACCCCTATCTCAATAACATCAGCATAGACCTTCAGTCTAATAAGAAACTTTTTAAATCTATTTCTCTGAAGCTTGCTACCTGTAGGTTTCATCTGCATGATAAAATCTTGGTATCCAACCAAGGTGATCACCAACAGTGGGATCAGCATCCCCTTATCCCACACGTATGTGTTTATTCTGATTTTTGCCCCCAAATGTTAGTGACTTCAATTACATAATTTATCTATCATCATAAGTGGAACTGAAATGAGAATGAGATTGCAAAAACATTATATCTTCTTTTTTTTCTTTTATTATTTTTTTCTTTTTTTAGAGTCTCACTCGCCTAGACCGGAGTGCAGCGCAATTTCTGCTCACTGCAACCTCTGCCTCCCAGGCTCAAGCAATTCTGCCTCCTCCTCCCAAGTAGCTGGGACTACAGGCGTGCGCCACTAGGCCCGGGTAATTTTTGTATTTTCAGTAGAGAAGGGGTTTCACCACGTTGCCCAGGCTGGTCTCGAAGTGGCCTCAAGTGATTCGCCTGCCTAAAAGTGATGGGATTACAAGCATAACCCACCGCGCCTGGCCTTTTCCCCCCATATTTAGCAATTAGATTTTGTTGCTACCTATTGTCTTCATTTCTCTTTAGTTTTTGTTTATAATTTTGATATTTTATAATTACTTGAGAAACTTTAGAAAAATTACCACTTATGTTGGAGTCTTATTAAATAATACACCTTATGTTGTAAAAATATCTTTAGGAATGTAATCTTTGGCTATAGTTTGTCTCCAATATTATTTATTTCTGATCCTCATATTTTAATAGTTTTACATTGTGCTTCTATATTTCCTTAAAATTATCTAATTTTAGTGTCACATTGCACACATTCTTAGTGTAATATTGCTTATTTTTTCAATGTATCAATACCAATACATTTTGGCAAAACATGATTATAGACATGACTTTTATATATTTTGTATTCTTTTTTGCCTTGTATATACACATATAATTTTAAATTGAACATGTATATAGACACAATTAATGATTTACATGCAGCTGTAAAAAATAATACTGAATGATCTTGTGTATACATATTATCTAGTTTCTTCCAGAATAACATTTGCAAGACTATATTATAAAATCAAAACAAAGATACTGTTAATGATCCTCTCCAATGTTCTCATTCAGAATTCATTACTTTTACTTATATTCAGTTGTGTGTGTGTGTGTATTCACATATGGGTCTAAGTTTAAAACCATATGAAGGCTTTAAAAAAAATCTTGCCTGCATTGGCGATCATGCTGATACACAAGCTCACTTTTTTGTTCATTTCACCTTTCATTGCATGGATTTTTCAAGTTTTACCTTGATTTAATATTGTATAAAAATTATGTAAAATATTTAGATTTGTAAAGAGACAAAGGTATAACAGAAGAAAACTGTATACACTATCAGTTCTATCCCTTTTCTGTTAGCACTGTCCTTTTATATATTTTTACTTGCTTAAAAAAATACAGTATACATTGTATATTCTGAAATGTGAATTTTTCAATGCAAAATATACCCTGGAAAAACTCCATTAAGTCAGTTCTACAGTAATACAACGTATGCATTCCTGAAAAACATGGAATTATGCAAAATACAAAATAAAATCCCAGGGCTTATGGAGACACAAAATACCATCTGTGAAACATAAAATATAGAAGTCTAATAAGTAAGACAATGCAACTTTACACGTTAAATATTTAATAAATAAATAAATAATATGATAAATATGGCCGTTTACTTAAAAAGCCTGAATTTTGCTTGTGAAAGTGGGAGTCAAGTGTTGCAGCATGTGAGTTACTGTGAAGTGGTTGGTGGTAGGAGAGTTACATAAAATCAGATGGAAAATGTAACGCTAATATGGATGGGTTTAGCTCACACCGTAGGATGAATTGAGGTTACCAGTAGATTTTCAAATTGTGTCCTTGAGTGAGTTTTTATATTCCTACATGATCCATTTTAGCTGGGTACAGTTTTCTGCATTCATCTCGTCTTTCCTGCAGACAAAGCAACCAGAACAATCACAAAATTTGTGTTGTGTTCAAGATGTTTCCTAATTTTTCGATGGTGTTGGAAAAATCCTGAAACAATATTAATGGGATATATACAGAGATCTTTACTAAACTCTAAAGCTGTGGCGATGTATTGTGCAGTTTTGCACTCATTCATTCACCCAGACACTTGTAGTTGGACACTGAGGCTATTTCCAATGTAGTTTTTCAGGAACTGCCTTTGGGCAAATAACCATAAGGTGTCAATGCTCAATTAAAGTGGGAAATATGAGATAGGATAAGCACAGAAAAGTACTCTCCACAGTGATGGTAAGACATCTATGGTCTTTTTTTCCTACTTATTCCTCTGACTACAACTGAAATCACCACATTCTAGATGTTGAGCCAATTGATTTTAAAAAGCTGAAATCTTCCTTGCTCAGACTGGAATTGGGATTTTGGGAAATTCCTCACTCCTTGTCTTTACAGCTTACCTTTGCTCACTGGACGGAAGTTGAGACCCACAGACCTGATTCTCAACCAACTGACCTTAGCCGATTGCTCGGTCCTTTCCTACAAAGGGATACCTCAAACAATGGAGGCCTTTGCATTAAAATATTTCCCAGATGATGCAGGATGTAAACTTTATTATTACAGAGTAGGCACAGGGGTTTCCTTCAGCAGTATCTGCCTCCTCAAAGGCTTCCACGCCATTAAGCTCAACCCCAGTATATGGATGTGGATGGAACTCAAGATTAGATCTTCAAAGTTCATTGGCTTCTCTTGCTTCTTGTGCTGGATTTTGCATCTCTTAATGAATACATGTATTTTTTTTTTCTTTCAGAAATGAATAGCTGGAATTGTAACCCCCGTCCCACACCCACATGTATTCTTAAAATAGTGACTGGTGCACTGAACAGGAAAATCTTAATGTAGAAATGATTTATGGAGTCTGTTCCTGCACAATTTAAGACAGATTCGGGTTATTCTATGCAATCACATATTTTCCCCCCGACTGTGAGTTTGGTTTTCATGGTCTGGGCCAGTGGCTCCATGGTTTTTGTCCTGCACAGGCACGAGCACCAAGTCCAAAATGTTCACAGTCACAGACTCTCCTCCAGATTTTCCCATGAGGCTGCAGCCACATACGCTACCCTAATCCTGGTCTGCTCCTTTTTCACCTTTTATTCAATCTACAGTACATTAACTGGACGACTTTAGCTGAAAACCCAGGCCCCTGGATGGTGAACAGTTCTGTGCCGGTGGCCTCATGTTTCCTAGCATTCAACCCCTTTGTGTTCACCAGTAGTGACACATGGGTCTCTTGGTTCTGCTTTGCCTGTAGAGCCAAAACAAATTGATTTTGTAATCTGATTACAGTGCTATGAGTCTGTTTTCTTCATAGCATCTAATCATTCATTTCAATATTTGTTAACATGTAGCAAACTATTACATGGTAAAAATTTTGGATGCAATGGCAAATAAAATCAATTATGTTCCTGCCCCATTTTAGTTCTTATAATCGAAATAAAAATGACTATCTTAGTTATACAAAGATTATCCAATCTAATTGAAGTTCAGGAAATTTTGAAATAGTATTACAGAAGTAAAATTTTAACTTTAGAGAATTATGAGAAATCTCTCACTTTGAGTCTTAGGAAGATACATGGGAAATTTTTCAAAAATCTATTTTGAAACATAATTAGGTACAATTCTCTCTGACAGTGGGAAAATCACCTAGATTGATCCTATACAGCCTTAAGGAGTTGGAAGAAATCCTATGTGTTTGGAATTTAGAGAGACAGCAGAGTAGCAGAATAGGAATCTAGATTTGTAGGTGCACACTTAGGACAGGCTGAGAAAGCTGAGCATTTGTTTAAAGAAACTGACAAATCCATGAGCTAGTTCAAACTGGTTTAAAATATCAGTTATCCTTATTAAAAATTATTAACAGTATTTAATTTAAAAGTAATAGTTGGCTGGGCGCGGTGGCTCAAGCCTGTAATCCCAGCACTTTGGGAGGCCGAGGCGGGTGGATCACGAGGTTGAGAGATCGAGACCATCCTGGTCAACATGGTGAAACCCCGTCTCTACTAAAAATACAAAAAACTAGCTGGGCATGGTGGCGCATGCCTGTAATCCCAGCTACTCAGGAGGCTGAGGCAGGAGAATTGCCTGAGCCCAGGAGGCGGAGGTTGCGGTGAGCCGAGATCGCGCCATTGCACTCCAGCCTGGGTAACAAGAGCGAAACTCCGTCTCAAAAAAAAAAAAAAAAAAGTAATAGTTAATAATATTTTAAATTGTATAGCTTGAATATTAGTTAATCTTTCAAGAAAAGGCATTATTACT